ATGTTTTCTTAAGTTTTCGCGGGTACTTACATGTATGGTATTCGGCTTGGTTCGGGTATTTTCCCACGTCATTGTAGTCTGATGATGGCAGATGAGATTCTGCTGAAACATTGCTACAACTTTAAAAGAACAACTACAATGATGTGGGAAAATACCCGAACAAAGCTGAATGCCATACATGTAAGTACCCGCGAAAACTTAAGAAAATATATATATATATATACATACATACATACATACACACACACACACACGTATATATACATATTTTATGTTGATTTATGAAATATCAGATTACATCAGTGTGATGTTGTATGTACGTTATAATTGGAAATGTAATTAAAATATTTCTACCAGCCCTTGTTTTCAAGCATTCCTTCAATTAGGCAATCGGTAAGATCAATTCACAAGACTGTACTGTGATGCTTCATATATTTTTATATAGAGAAAAATATACAAGAATAATTTTTTACAATTTATTTTGAAATAATACAAGAATACAGTGTGCAAAATCATAGGAGCAACACGTAGAGACATACATATCAGGTGCTGAAATTTCTTGTGATTTCTTGACAGAAACACACTATTTAGTAATATTAAAAGCTATGTTCTAAATGTTCACAGCAAAAATAGCCATTAATCGAATATATATATATCTGCTCTATTTTTTAGATAGATGGAAGGGGGAGAGGGGGAAGTAAAGTGCAAATATTGCACCGAAAATAAGTGCAAGGTTTGTCCCCACCATAAATGATGTCTTATGGCAAAATAAAATCTTTTAAAATACGCAGCATAGGAAAAAAAATTAACATTAAATGAAAGAATTATGAAAGCACCATTCCTCTTGAACAATGCAATCTGCTTGTGGGTTTAATCTTTTTTAACGCAGCTCAGGCTTCTCACCAGCCTTTAATTTTACTAAAGTTATCACACCCAAAATATGTGAAACTTTCCCATATAGACAACAATTTGCTACATATAGCGTACATTATATATACTATTCGCTTTGCCACGTATTCTGATATTTCTGTTGGCACCGGGCAAACTAGAAGTTCATATATATATATCTATTATATGTCAGAAGATTCCAGCTTGCAAAATTGCTAGTTTAATTACATAAGTTTGTGCAATACGTATTAATCAGCAATAAAAATTGTCCTATAAACAGATGTTACATGTTTCAAACTGCATCCTTTTTGTGCAATTTTTTTTTCCTTAGAAAATGAAACTTTTTATACAAAGCTCCTCTCTTCTTCCTACTATTCTCCTTAGCACCACAGGATATCCATGTTCAAGCCTATTATACCTGATAGACATATAATGTAGTTTGGAAGGGAAAAATAAAATATATATATAAGGCAATTTGGTTTTTTTGTTTTTTTAAATGTTGATACTCTTAGCTTGCTTAATGCTCTACTTGTAATAAGCAAAACTTCATTCCTTAGTGACTCCAACGATGCCAGTGTATTATAGCCACACCGCCACACCAAATCACGAAACCTTGATCGTGTCTTCCCATCACCCTGGATTTATTCAAGTTCCATCTTGATGCTACTGAGACCCCTGGGAAGGAAGACAGATGGGAAAAAACACCTATTTAAAGACACAGGAAATTTTGTTCGTGGAAATACGAATTAAATTTCACTTGTTCTGGGTTCAATTTTCTTGCAGCCAAAACCATGGAAGTGGGTGTCAAGAGCACGCTCGCAGGTTGGGCACTTAGTAAATCACAGGTAGTCCTTGACCTCGTAAGGCCCGCGGTAGAGCCCGACATTTCTGTTGCTGAGTGCGAGGCAGCTGTTAAGTGAATTTGGCCCCGTTTTACGACCTCTCTTGCCACAGTTGTTAAAGTGAATCGCTCCAGTTGGTTAAAATTAAGGTCAGTGAATCTGGCTTCCCCATTGACTTTGCTTATTGGAAAGATCACAAAAGGAGTGTGGGTGGGGGGGTGTTTGTCACATGACCCCGGGATGCTGCGACAGTCATAAATATGACTCAATTGCCAACTGTCCAATTTTGATCATGCAACCATGGGGAAACTGCAGTGATCATAAATCACTTTTTTCAGTGCCATTGTAACTTTGAATGATCTCTAAATGAACTGTTGTAAGTTGAGGACTACCTGTATTTTAAACCAGGGGTCGCCAACCACTAGGCTGGGGACCACTGGTGGTCTGCAGAGAAAAGTCAGCCCCCAAAGCAATCAATCCAGGCTGCGTGGGAACACAAGGCTGTGCTGCCCACATGCCCCATGGGAACACAAGGCTTTTGTCACTTGCATTGCAAACAACACCAGGTAGTGAAGGGAGGGGGGAAGAGCGGAGGGGGGGAACTTGCCTGGCCACCAGGCTGCTTCTTTCCGTTTCTTTCTTCTTCTGCTTTTGGCTGCACGCAAGGAAAGCACCAAAAGTCTTTCTCTCCCCAAAAACTGCACCAGAAACGAGTCTTTGGGACCCTGCAAGGCCTCCTGTTCCAAGAGGCTGCGCAGGCAAAGACTCATTTCTGGCGGAGTTTGGGGGAGAGAAAGAAAGACTTCTGCTGCTTCTGCTGCTTTCCTTGCATGAAGCCAAAAGTCTCTCTCTCTCCCTCTCCCTCTGAGAACAGAGCTGGAGACGGTATCCTGTGATGCCAAATAAAGAATGATTGATCGGTAGGAAAACGGGGTGGGGAATTTTCCTGCAGACTGTTTTTGGGGATTTTCCCAGGGTCTCTGGTCAGCGGGATTTAAAATTATGAGGTTGGTGGTCCCTGAGGTCCAAAAGGTTGGCGACCCGTTTTAAACAATATTGTAACAACTGGCATGGATTCATCCCAAATCAGGAAGGGTTGAGTCAGGTTTTACCTATTAAACAAATGCATAAAAATAGTTATCTTCCAGATTATTCATATGCTTTGGGAGATTGGAATTTCGTGAAGGTTACATACATCCTAGCATATTTTTAAAAATATCTTTATTAAATTAAAACAACAAAATACAGTATAAAAAAACCTGCACTCCTGTGCACTGAATACCAGCAGTATTTCAGACTACGATGACTGTTCTCTATAAATGAGTCAAAAACTCAGTCATGGGTGGAGGTAAGAGGTGAAATTTCAACAACAGGTAGCCCTTTACTTACAACAGTTTACTTAGTGACCATTTGAAGTTACAACGGCACTGAAAAAAAGTGATTTATGACCGTTTTTCACACTTATAACCATTGCACTGTCCCCATGATCACGCGATTTACACTCAGACGCTTGGCAACTGATTCATAGTTACGACGGTTGCAGTGACCCAGGGGTTACGTCATCCCCTTTTGCAACCTTCTGACAAGCAAAGTCAACGGGGAGGCCAAATTCACTTAGCAACTGGGTTACTGATTTATCGACTGCAGTGATTTGTTTAACCAATGTGGCAAAGAAAAGTCGTAAAATGGGGGCGTAACTCACTTCACAAAATTTCTCACTCAGCCATATCAATTGTGGTTGCAAGTTAAGGACTACCTGTATTTATAAGCATCTCCTTGGATTGGGGTAGAATTAAAGCAACGGCTTACAAGTGGACTGACCAACTATTTTTATCTTTATCTTTTTTAGCAAGAGAGAAATCTAATTTTTTCTAACCTAATTTCTTTACAAAAATACAGGTTGTTGGCCTCAATGAATTAAAAGCCACTATATGGTTAAGTGTGGTGGCAACTTCTCGCAGAGTAAAATCCCCAGGGACTCTGATTTTACCTTGTGTGTGTGTGTGTGTGAGAGCCAAGGAAGTGAAATTGATTGTCATAATGCTGAACTAGTGCCTTGTCGGAGGTCTGAACTAGCCTAGCTAGCATCTGTCAAAAGGCTGCCATTGCTGCCTTCTAGAAACTACTATCCAATAGAGTGCAGCAAGGATTAGGGTAGACTCTGGAGTGGTCCGTTATCTACTTTTTGTGTGTATTCTGGAATAACCCTACTGGTGTTACTCTTTCTCTGGGACCATAAAGCAAATTTACGGCAAAGTGGATCCCCTTGAACAGAGGGAGGAGGGGAATCTCCTTCTAGTAGATCTGGATATTTCATTGGAAATCCTATTGGATTTTATTATCAGTTTCCTCTACAACAGGGATCCCCAGCCTGGTGCCACGGAGAGGGGTTTTCCCACGGACCGGGGGTGGGGGGCGTGGTTTCATGTGCTACCTGCATCCTGCAGGTGGGGCTTCATTTGTTGGCGTGGATCGGTTGCTGGCATGCCGTGGCTTGGGGCTTATCCACGGACTGGAGGTGGGTGGGTGGGTTGGGCCCCCCGTTCTACAAGGGCTCTTAAGGACCAAGAGAGCATGTAGGAAATGGCAAGAATGGAAAGGCCACGTACTGAATTTGTTCGTTTCCGTTTCCAGCAATCGGGATTCAAACGCTTTTGTTCTTCAGCCAAGGCCTTGGCTTCTAAGGTGTACATCCGCCTTTCCTCATTTTTCATTTTCTTCCACCTGTCCCCAAGTATCACACTTATGGCTCTGCAGAAGAAATAGATGGGGGGAAGAATCAAGTCAAGCCAGCAGTAAAATGTTAAATTTCCCTATTTCTTTCTTTCCTTCCTTCCTTTCATTCTTTCCTTCCTTCTTTTCC